TTTTCAAGTGAGCATGAGAATAAATTTTAGGATTATTATTTGTTCTGTAGAAATCGTTCTAGGATTGGTTGGTTTGAACTATTTTTTCACCTCCTTTGAAATTCGTTTTCTGAGTAGGAAAAAGCTTTGATTGTCCCCAGTCAGTACGCTGGAATTAGTCCAATGCCCAGCCTCTTATTTCAGGAATGAGGATCAGAACGTTTTATCAAAGTAATTTCTTAAGGAATGTATCCAATTGTATTGCTTCCGGTCATGAATTGATAACTGTTAAGTTGCTCATAAGGTGAAGCCTATCCTCCCAGTATTAGACATGTGGAGAAATGCTAGATATATATACATACATGGTGCTGGCATAATTGTTTTTTTTCAGTGTGTTCGCTTGTTTGTTTGTAACGAAATCCGGCAGAATGAAGAGTAACCTTAAGAGGTGGATTTGAACTTATGATTAGCATCAAATGTTCATGGGCTAAGAGGTGCAAGACACACGTGACGTAATTAGAGCCTCGAACACAGCGGGCGATGTTCTTCTATATGGAGTTCGTCTGATGAAAACAATTAGCTACTTTGTCTATACAGGGTGTTCCATAATTATTACAACAAACTTTGCCCACCATTTTTATTTGTGTTTACTGATTTTTTTAACGATTGGCGTATCAGTACTTCCCCATATTCCTGTCGATAAGCTTGTCATGTTTCACGGCTCCTCGTTAGCATTCCTATTCAGGATGCGTCCGAACCCAAAGCGAACTGCTATTCCCTGCCTGAGCGAAGAAAGACATTTTCAGACAAACATTGCTCGTCTTCTGAACACGCATCGCTCCCAAGCTGCAGTGCATAGAAGAGTGGAGAAGTGGTCGTGCTTGCTGCGCAGACCCGTAACTCCTTTAGATCTTGGGAAAACTGCGAAGAAGGTAGTCGATCATAACACCGTAAGAGCAAGAGCAAGATGGCTTGAGAGCTGTGTGTTTCAAGCACGACCATGTGGGAAATTATCCTAAGAACCAGACATGCATCCCTATGAGACGCTCGAGAATCATGGCTAACAGAAGCACGGAAGGCGAACAGAAGAGCAAAGTGTGAAGCGCTAGTGGGAAAGGGCTACAGAAGACGACCACCTTCGGACCATGTTTGACGTGAAAATTTTTTATCGAGGGCGAAAGCTATACCCGATGAAATTTGGGGTAACACAATCGACCTCCTGCGGAAGCCGGCGAAAT